GGAGGGAACAAGAAAAAAAAAGTTATATTGAAGGAATTCAGTACCCAGAAATCTTGTATGCAATAGGTTGATAACAGTAAGGAGTTAAGATCTGTAAATTGGTCCACAAAATAACATTTTTATTCATCATTATTTTTATTCATCAGCACCAAGTAGCCTCTGAAATTTTTTAGGTGTAAAGATATATTCAAGGCACATGAGATAAATCAGACAGCAAAAAAACGTTGTGTGACAGTACCACCCTATGCTGTATGTGTCTTACTGTGTCTGTATGTGAACGAGATGCATTCTCAGGAGTGTCCAACATCGTTAGTTTCTGTGGCTCAGAAACTCAAGAGGAGCAGATATACCAGGAGGTACCCTGCTCCCACAGCCTCCCCTCACCTCCTCCTCAGCCTCCCTCCCAACAGCTACCTGATCCCCTCTCCTCGTGCCACGTTCCCTCCTGTCCTTCTCTAAACATTATCTTTCGGAGGCAGAAGGTGAAACTAGAGAACAAGCTGGAAGCACTGCAGCAACAGATAACCAGGTGGGTCACAGGGCTTGACCAGGATCCTTATCAGTAGTGGTGATGACTTTGCATATAGCATTATATTGCATATATATCGTGATCAGCCATAACATTATGACTACTGACAGGTGAAGTGATCTTGTTATGAAGTTGATCTGTTAGAAGCAGGAAAAATGGGCAGCATAAGGATTTGAGTGACTTTGACAAGGGCCACATTGTAATGGCTAGATGGCTAGCTCTTGTGGGGTGTTCACGCTCTGCAATGGTCAGTACCTATCAAAATGAGTTTTTGTCCATTCCAGTTTGTTGTATATGGGGCTGCATAACATTATGACCACCAGTGTGCTCTGGTGGTCATAATGTTATGGCTGATCGGTGTCAAACACCACAATACCAGCAAAGTAGTTGCGTAAAACTTTGGGTGCAGATAGTGGGTGCACTTCTACAGTGCTTAGCTATCTATATTCAGTCCATCTAAGATTTTGCAGGCTTAAATGCCTGATATCATGGTTTTATCATAGTTTTTCAAAAAAATTGCAGTGCATTCTTTATTTTTTTTTGCAAGGAAATTATTGGAGAAAGTGAAAATTGCAAAAATTGTTTTGGGTTTTGTTTTTTCGAAATCAAAAGCAACTTGTTCCAGTGAGAATAAAATCACTAGTATTTTGGTCACATATGGCTCAACATTTTATACAGGGTACTGCTATGATTGATGGAACTCACTGGAAATTATGTTATTTATTATGTTTGGTCAAATTCCAAGGTTGTATAGAATTCACAGGGATTGGTTGAATATGGGTTAACATCACTGCATACTGGAGAGACTGACAGATCAACTTAAATAGTATTTTGCTAGAAATAACATTAGCGAGCAAGCCAACTGAGGTTTAGACACTGAATAACTTTTTAGCGGAACCGTCTGCCTGTAAGTGGATAAGCAGATTAACATTCGCTAACTTATCCAGACTGATCTGGCTGGGCTGCCATTTGCAGTATATGTTGTCAGCTGTCATTGTAGCTAGCTGGCTTTGCGCTTTACTTGCCTGGCACGCTAACATTATGCTAGCAGAAATAATAGTGTTAATGTAAATGTAGGTGTGTATTGTAAGTAATCTAGCGAATGAAAATTATGTAAAGGACCTGACTTGTATACGCTTTCTAGTCTTCGACCACTCCAAAGCACATTTACACTCATGGCAAATTCACCCTTTCAACATACATTCACTCAGTGGATGTCAAATGCCCATTTGAACAGAAACAACTCATTCATACACATTCACAATTTGGGTTTCAGATATCTTGCTCAAGGATACTTCGACATGTGGCACTAGGAGCCGGGTATCGAACCAACAACCTTCCCATTAGGGGGACGACCCGCTCTGCCTCTGCGCCACACCGCCCCGATATCTAAGTGAATATGTTATGTTTTACGGTACCTTTTAAATTACTTCACCAGGCTAACGAGATCCATAATAACTTTTATATTCCGACAAACGTGTTTGATTTTATCTATAACAATAAATTTACGTAACAGTAACAAAGCAAACGATTGCTTTCTACTAGCGAAGAGTGATGGCAAGGCAGGAGCGGTGTTTTTCTGGCGTAGGAACAGCATTCTTAATATGATTGTAATTTATTTTTACAGGCAGTCAGTCTATTGTATGCAATGTCACTGTTTTTGGCTGAGCCTGATTGTGATTGGTGCAAGCCCTGCGATTAATTTAACGCTATGCTTACTGCAGAACTGTCTCTTTCTGACACCAGTTCTGCCCACAAAATATTACATTGCTGTTTACAAACACAAGAAAGGTCTATTGTGGACAGAGTCTGGCATGTCTCCTGTACTAAACTCATTATGTTGTGTGTTTTCCAGCTTGGAGTCTCGTATGTCAGCAGACATTGTGACCATCATGCAGCTGCTGCAGAGGCAGATACCAATGATCCAACCTTCCTATAGCACCCTGACATCAACACCTAATGCACCTTCCTACGCCATCCTGTCCCCCAATGCTGCTTCCCCCACACACAACGCACCAACCACCAACCCCCAGCAGCTACAGTCCAATGAAAACCAAGATTCCCTTCAACTCCTGTGATTGTAGTTCCTCTGTCCTCCATCTTACTGCCTCAACCCCTCTCATCCCTGCCTCACCCATTCACACTTCTGCATGTCATCCACTGTTTTCTTCCCCCAATTTACCCGAGAACACCCACTCTATACCCCTGCATCCGACCTCCACCCAGTCATCATCCCTTGTCTTTTCTCAGTCAGGAAATCAGTCTTCCTTACATTCATTGTCCCTACCCTCAACCCTTACCACCCTAACTCCCCAGCCCCCAGAAAAGTTCAAACAACGACCCTTCCTAACAGGACACAGAGCTTAAGTTCTGTGTCACAGGTACTGTAAACCTTTAAGTAGTGTATCAAGTCTCATAACCTTCATAAGAGAATGGGCTAGTGATAGTGTAGTCTTAGAATTCCAATTATTTTTTATCAAATTCAGTCAACTCATTCAGTCAAGTGCAATAAAAGTTGTTCATACTTACAGGGCTAATAAAAACTAGAAAGTCACTATACAAGTGTAGGTCCGATGTACCATTACCATTTACCAGAATAGGGACTTTGCAGCTAGTCTGTCTTTTTGTGTAATTGATATGTTTAAATTTTCTGTTCTTATCTGTTTTGCCTGTGCACTTTATCTGTTCACCATTGGGTGAAAAGAGAAACGTCCTCTCGATCCTTGTATGTCTGGTGCATGTGAAGAATCAACAATAAAGCTGACTTTGACTTTGACTTTGAGTCACAAATCTCCAAACAGGTATGTGTGTCACACATCTGTGAAGGCATAGTGTAAAATAAATGTGTAATATAATGAAGGAAGCTGAAAATGGAAAAACAGCAGTACCAAACAAATACTGTAGCTATGGTGTAAATCCATTGAGTATTGTATTGTATTAATAAACTTGTATCAGTATGGTTTATTTGTTTCCAAATTTCTTTCAATACACAGTATAAATAAGTCAGACGTACTGTGAAAAGCCTTGAATGAACATAACAGATGCTGTATGTTGTTTTAAGCATGGAGTGGAATAGAATGGCTAAGTGTAATAATAGCAGTCACAGAAGTGGGGGCCAGCCGTCGCTCCCCACTTGCATCAATGAGCCTTGACCCTGTCTCTGGTTTACCGCTTCTTCTTCCTTGACCACTTTTGATAGTAGGTAATAGGTACTGACCACTGCAGACCGGGAATATCCCACAAGAGCTGCAGTTTGAGATGCTCTGTCGTCTAACCATCACAGTTTGGCGCTTTTCAAAGTCGCTCAAATCCTCACACTACCCATTTTTCCTGCTTCTAACATCAACTTTGAGGACATCTTTGAGTTCACTTGCTGCCTAATATATCCCACCGACAGGAGCCATGATAACCAGATAATCCGTGTTATTAGTTTTCCTGTCAGTCTTCACAGTGTTATGGCTTATATATGTGCACACTAGATGGATGTTTTCACTTTAATCTGCTGTGTGATATTAAGGGGCGGGGCCTACCAGCATGTGACATCACAAATAGTTTGGAGTCATACCTGGTTCAGTATGCAACTTGTACAGTGTGATGTAGAAACTTGAAGGCCATTAGTACAACTTTTGAACCACTAATCAGTGGTACTAACATAAGAACTGTGATGCAGTCAATGACCTGCTCAAATGTGCTTTATAGTTTTTCTTCAAATGTGGATGAAGAACTGTAAACACTGATTGAGGACTGAGCACAAATATTTTGTTTGACATAGTTGGACACTATGGTTTCCCACAGAACATGCTGAGATGTTTGGACTGGAATTTCTTTTTCTGATTTCCGTTACATTGCAAAATAAAGGAATGTTATCTTTAATACTGTACCGTACTAACCATTCAAACCATGTTGAGAATTATGTAAAATAAACCTTGTTCATTTAGTTGATCCATGTGAGTGGTGGCTTTTGTATACCGTCTACCAGTCTTATCCAGAGCAACATGCAGAATAAAAAATAACCCAAGTGTTTAATGAGCTGCTAAATAACAGCTCTCATGTGATCATCACAATCACTTTATTACCATGTATATTATCCATGTGGGGAAACAGAGATAGAGATTGGGACAAAGTTATTGATAGCTATTGATGCATAGGAATATTTATATATTTTATTATAATTATAATGTAATTTAGTTTTATTATTATATTTCTTTTGGGGTCATGCCATCCTCGATTGAAAAACTATATTAAACATGAAGAGTATAACACTGATATATGTTACAAAGTAATATCATTCGCCGATTTATGTTTTTGTTTACATATTTTATTTGTACTTATGCATAAAGAAATGTTATTCAAAGTAAAAAAAAAAGTTCCCATTAAAAACATTACAAATGTGATGTATATGAAATACAAATTGTTTTAAGTTGCTCTAAATACTTTATCTTGAGACAGCAGGGGTTCATTTTGATCTTCTCTCACCATGTTATGCTTGTTCTGACAAGTCGATTAGATTAATAGATCTACTATTCCTCCCAGACACCCTTATTTCTACATTAGAAATATTAAAAACTACATGAATTTGAAGACAACACGTTTTAATTAGTAGTAACCCATCAGCCTAATATTTTTTGTGCACATTTATGACTGTGTGCTTAAGGACGGTGGAATAACCTACTAAACCTGTTTTATACTGACTGCTGACTCCTCAGTCCAGGTAACCGGTCGAGAGGGGTTCCGGCAAGTCATTAACAACCGCTAGGCTAAAAACCATTGACTGTATAATTATAAATGTATGTAGTCTCTGAAGTCACCCATAGGTTTCTGAAGGGAGGGGGCAGGGGAGCAACACTCTATTAGCCCTCTAGGCTCTATAGTTGGAGAATGAGGTAAGTCTCCAGTTATTCCATTGTGCCACACACATGCACACACAGCCTCTGACTAGTCGACAAGTCAGGAACTCAGCCTCTGAATGGTTGTGACTCAACCCAAAGCTAACAACCATGCTAACATCAAAAACAATGGTACACACATAAAAAAAGCACACATAAAAAGGATAAATAATCACATAAGACATTCACTGTTATTTTATTTGACCAACTATAAATGCTGAGTATGTGAAATGCATTTTATTTGCAATTGAATATTTGTGGAATTTTGTGGCAAGGTGCAATGTTTTCAATGCTTGATTTTGATGCAATCCAAAAGTATTCAGATTAGACACTAAGGCAACAATATGAAATTACCTCATGTTTGAAAACTGATGACAATACTTACAGCTAAACAGAATATGGTTTACATCCTGAAAGTGACAAATTTTTTTTAATGAAGTTACAATTTTTTAACATGATATATAATATTGTATATATTATATAAGTCCTCCATGGATGTTCCACCCTGGTAGAGTACGTACCAACAGTAATCACACAGTTTGCAATGAGTCTTTCAGCTCTCATCAGGTCTGTTCATGTTGTCTGTGTCGAACGTGAAGGGCTTATCATAGCCCATCAGGTGGTTGTAGTCGTGCGGGAAGGGGAACAGATCCGGGTTTACTAGCAGCCCCATACGGTCTGCGGTAAAGGTGGTGAACATCTTGCTAACAGCTGGGATCTTGACCTGCCTCTGATGGAACACGCTCTTTTTTTCAGTGAGGAAGACGCTGTATGTGATTGCAGTGTAGGTGTCTGTGTCAGGGTTGTGGTACAGGCGGATCACATAGCCTCTGGTGAAGAGGTGGAGGAGGACAGGGGTGACAATGGTGAAGAAGCCGATGACTCCGCAGAAAGCGACCTGCAGGGCCAAGCTCTCGACACCTAGTCCAGTCTTCAGGAGGATCTGGGGCATGAGGAAGAGGCTCGCCCCACTGGTGCTGTAGGAGAACAGCTTTACCCCTGACAAAAGAGAGGATTCAGAGGACACAGGTTACCAAATCAGTGTATGCCGTTATCTAGGTCCTGCCCATACACCTGGCTGACTTAATGATGAGCAGGACTCAGCTGTCAATTATGTAATTGAACCCCCTTTTTATAGATTCAAATAACTGATTAAAACCAAACTGGTCAGAAAAATTAACAATTGAACATATATCTGCGTGGTATGAATTACTTAAAATCCCATGTGCTAAAATGGAGGGGGCGGAGTTTATGTTTTTTACTTGATTGAAATGTTTTGGGTTTACATTACATAATGTCATATACTATAGCCTTTACCTGGTGTTATGCTGGAAAAAAATAGTAATCACAGTAATCTACTTAGACAATGGTGATCAGTTGTTTTTTTTGATATGTAAAAAGATGACAGTAACTCACCTCGAACAGCTCTGCCCAAGCTGCCGGTGTAAATGAGGTTCCCAACCTCAGAGCTGGCTTCCGTTAAGAGACAACGGGCGGACAGACAGTGAGACTGCACCTACTCAAAGAAACAGCAGAAAAACACAAAATGAAAGCTGGCATTGGCAGGGTTTAGTTACTCTGTTCACCTACAGGACACTTCGATGGAAAAAGGCACGTGTCAGTTCTGAAATCCAAAGGCCGCTAACCAACAGTGACAGTAAGTACTGTTCTGCCATAAAGTCTACAGAATAATACTGATAACTTTTTTTGAAAGGATCACACAGGTGTTACTCCAATTACATGTTTTTATACTGAGGTCTATAGGGTCTCTGCAGGTCTCAAGTCAAATACTTGTTCAGACCATTATGAATGCAATTCAAACAATTTAAGCTAATATGTGATAATGACACTGTAATAGAATGCATAATGGAAATATATATATATATATATATATAACTGACAAACTATTTTATACACGTTGTTGTTTCTATTCCAACAAAAGCACAAAGCATGGAAAATAATTTATTTAGATTTTCCAGAACAGGTTACTCAGGAATCAGGAATAAAATGTTTCCATGTATAAAGAAAAGCCTTTGTTCTTTGTTCTGGGAGCTAGGTCAAACTGAAAATGAGGTTCACTTTTTGTTTTGCGGCCTACAAGCACATAAGGGATGTAGCTATATTTTAGTAAAAAGTCCTCTATTTATGATGATTTATTTTGGCTGGATGATTATGGAAAAACTAGAATTGTGCTTTGCAGAGTCTTTAAGAGCTTGGGAGAGGAGGCAGAGACGAGCTGTAAAATAATCTGTAATTTTGTAATGAACTGAAAGGTTTCAAAGCTGTCAATATATTTATAACATAAAATAAATGAATGGCTATTTATATACAACACATATTCACCGAATATCTTCTTATTTTGCTGAACCTCGAGTGACACTCGTATATAACGTTAGGTCTAAAAAAAAAACTCTTGGTAAGCCACTCTGAGATCTCGCACAGTCCTGCAGGCATTAACAGTCGATTGCAGACAGTGTGATCTCAGCGGCTACCTTTTCTTACATAGGTCATGTAACGTTAAATATGTCCAGTAAAGTATTAACTCCCGAACTACACTATATAGGTCATCTGATGATGATGATAATGAAAACAAAATATCAGTCCTAGGTTAAATACCTTGCTGTTTGACGGTAGCTTGAGGGACGACCTTCTGACAGCATTTACCGTTAGCTGCTGTTGGCTAACCGCTCTGAAACAACACACGGTAAACGGCCCACCATGTCGCACGGCCGTCACGTCAATATTACTGAATGTCTGAGAAACAATACAGGGTCGTAATCTACGCAGGACATTTGTATAAAACATTGTTATTTTCTTAGCGACCGTCGCTGATTCATTCACACACGCTTGTAGTACTTCCGCTTCTTCCTCTCCTTATTTGAGTTTTAATAATGGCGGTTAGGAAACCAGCTAGGTGCATTACCGCCACCTACACACCGGAAGAATGAAAAATGGGCACATCGAAAACACTGGGGGTTGTGCAGGTATCACACACATAGAGAACGAAGGAATTGACTTTATTCTCAAATTGTTTTCATCTTTATTCTCGACATTTCGACTGTATTCTATAAATGCAAAATAAATCAACACTGAACAAACAAATCATTAACAGTGTATAAGTTACAGTTTAATTTTAGTTTTTTAGTTTTAGTCAA